TGAAAGCAAAATTATTGTTCATATGATTAAAGCTAAGGTGAGTTGTCAGAGCAGAGCATAAGACTGTAGGACATGCGTTTGGACCCAATTCAGAAAGTTACTTAGGAACATGGCTAGCTGTAACCTATGAAACACTAAGCACTTAAAACACCACATAAAGTCAGGAGGAAAAGGAAGATCACATGATGGCCAAATCTGCCATTTGTGTTTTTCTCCCAAACCTCTGCTCAATCTTACAATACATTTCGTAACCCTAGCATAACAGCTTTTCACAATTTGAATAAAAAATAGCATATCGTTAATAAAAATAACAGCAATAATAAAAATACTATTAAATCCTTCTCCCGAAAGGATAGTCAGGAAGCTTTCTCTAGCCTACAAGATTACAAACGGCTACAGTTAGAAGTTGAAAAAGCAGGTGAACAGAGTAAACAAATTCTAATTATGGAAGATGAAGAAATCAAAGACATTTATTTATGCGCAATGTAAGATCTAATGTCACCTTGCCGCTGCATTGGTGATTATTTTCAGACTGCTGGGATTACGGATCAGTTTATCCAGGATGCTGACAATCTGCTCAAACTTGGGTCTGTTGTTTCTGTCTTTCTGCCAACAGTCCAGCATCAGCTGATACAAGGCAGCTGGGCAGTCCATAGGAGGTGGCAAGCGGTACCCTTCATCAACAGCCTTAATCACCTGCATAAGGATAAAAGTTTTTGGAAACTTAAAGGCACTTAAATCAACTTGTTTTTATCAGTTCCGTGAACCACGTTAACATGGACATTCTGTGTTTAAACAAATGTGTTTATCCACTAATTGTCTTGTCGTGCAATGCCTCTGGTTTATCTGCAAAGTAAACCAGGCAGCAAATTAGGCATACAGAAAGGGGAGTTAAGATACAGTATGTGACTTTGAGAAAGGTGAGAGTCTAGAAAGGATCTCCAAAACTCACACTTGAATGAACTAAATCCATAAACAAAAGCTACAGTCAGTAAGCTGCTTGCTTAACTATGCCAGATTGCAAAAGGTCTTGAATACCTCTCATCTGATCACCCTTAGCCACACACACTTTCCAAACTCTCCAGTGGACACTGAAAACCAACCTACCCTCTCACGGGACATTCTGAACCGATAGACAGAAGGTCTGGGGATGATCTCATAGGGCCAGAAAATATTTTTAAAACTTACCACGAGGATAACTGTACACTTCCTACTAAGCAGTGCAGGCTCAATTCTTTCATCATTTGTCTAGATTGACAAAATTTGTCTAAATTGTCTATCATTTGCTAGATTGATAAAAAAAAAAAAAGCCCAGAATTTACACCATTATGAAGCTTTTTAATACAACCTTTTCACTAGAGTATCTCTGGATCAGTCCTACAGTATCTATTGCACCATGAACAAAAAACCCAATGTGTTTTAAGTAGAAAATGATAAAGCCATTTTCTGTTAATCTTTCCATTTTATCTGGATCAGTTAATTCAAAAGCAGGACAAACTATTTTGAGTCAGAACAGGGATAGGAAAACAGTCCATGGTTTAAGCAGCTATGAAGCAGAGGCATGTAAATAGGTTAATCCTTCTCTTTCTGATTTTAATGTGATATTATTAAAGGCATTCCACTAGTATATCAGTCTATGTAACACAACTCACTAATCTTCACAAACATAAAAGTAGTACAGAAAATGTCTGACTACCACCATGTTACTGACTTTTTTTAATTTAGTACCAGTAACAATATATACCAAGCCCTTGGAAAATCTACTTGTGTTAGTAACTGTACTTCAGAAAATTCTGTTCATAAGTACCTCCTGTGGAATAAATCTAGGATTAATAAGACAACAGAAGAATAACCCAAAATAGATATCACAAAAATCTTATTTGGGAAATGTTACGCTTCTTACTAGAATACTGGGGGAGATCCATTAATCATTTGGATTGCAGGCTTGGATAGTTTACTAACGTTGCAAAGAAGCCTGTATTGGAAATCTTCTAATCGGATCACTCTACTTCTCTATTTTATCCATTGATTATTTCCATAAATATTTTGGTTTCCTTAAACTCTTCATAGAAATGCACTGCTTCGCTTCTCTTTTTCACAAGTGCCAAGAGCAATTTATTCTGTGTATTTGACATTTACAGAGAACTTCTACAGTATGTTATACAAGTGGAACCAAAGGAGATCTACAGAAATTTAGGAGGGTTTTCTAACAATAAGCCAAGGAATGTAAAAGGCAATGATCTCATTGCAGTGGAATTGTTTGAATCATCCTACAGAAAACCACCAGTGCAATAAAATTCACTAATATGTTCCTTCAGAGGTCCAAAATACCCTGCTATAAAGATGTTGGCTTTTTGTTAAGTTCATTAGAACTTTTACTTGAGCTGGAAGACTTGGAGAGTTTCATTTTTGCATCTTATTCAATGTCAAAAACTCAGAGCCACCTGGTTTCATTACGCTTCGCTTCCTTTCACAGCTTGATCCTTTATTTGAGCACATAACTCGGGTAATGATATACTCACATCCTGGTTGGACATCTCCCAGTATGGTCTCTCTCCATAAGACATCACTTCCCAGAGAACAATCCCATAGCTCCATGCGTCACTGGCTGATGTGAACTTCCGATACGCAATGGCTTCTGGTGATGTCCATCGGATCGGAATCTTGCCCCCCTAGGAGCAAAACAAAATAAACCAGTCCACTTGACTGTAATACAATGAATAGAACTTTGCATCATTGATTACTTGATCTCTGAGATTTTCAATTATCATCATATTGGTGTAAAAAACAGCGTAAGATGGAAAATCTACTGCCATTTGTCAGGAAAGCATCTTGTACACCATAGAGAGTAAAATGCATTACAGCGCAAAATCTACTGAAGATCTGGATATATAGTATAGTATACATACCATATGCATGTGCATATCTATACATATATGCACATATATATATTTATGCACACATATTTATGCATAATATTTACAGTTAATAATGGTAAGTTAAGTGTGGTTGATTTTAATTTATAAAATGTTTGGAAACTGGCAAGACAGTCGTATGGCATTAAGGATGAAAAAGCTAGTACAAGGTCCTTGCTTATATCCTAGATCCCTCTGCACAGCACAAGAGGGCTGGATTTGTCTATTTGTAAGGCATTTCAAATGAATTCCCTGTTGGTGTGAAACCTGCATAGTTTCACCACGTTTTCACCCCATGTTTTCTAGGACATTCAAGGAAAATGAGGGGCTATAATGTTGCTCTGTTTCACTAACACCAAGCCTCCAACTGCACAAGGCAGTGCCTGTGACCACATGCACAAACTTTCCATTCCAAAGCCATCAGAGACAGTCACAGAAAGACAGATTTGGATGGGGTCACCTGTGCAGCGACAAGAGTGCAAAAATGTCATCTGAGGAAGTGGTCTTAAACATTTTTTATAGTCACAAGAGAAGCAAGCCATCATTAAATGGTGTAAACTTGAAAAGAAATAAAGCTATCATTACAAATAATATAGCAGTTAGGGGGAACATCTCTCTCTGATTGTTGGTGCCACTTGGTGCCATGGGTCAAATTAGTAAAATGCACACAAGCAGCCTCAGGCTGAGTTTCTGCAAGACGAGCATTAGAGGAAAGAGACAATTTCCAACGGTGCCAGCTTTGACAGAGGTTTTTAAGACTCTGATTTCTGAGTCACACATGAGAAAACAAAGTTCTAAAAGACAGCCGTGCAAAACTTTTTACTTAAAGTAGTTCTGGAGGGAATATATTTGAATACAGAAGACTGTGAGAGCTTAAAGTTGCTTCTAGTTCCAGGGATGCACAGTATGTACAGGGATACATTTGGAAGACTTCACACTAGACTAGCTATTTGAGGTACTTCTGCAGCCCCCATTATACTACAGTCATACACCTACCCTCACAATTACCTGTGTGGGAAGGGAGTGCTCTTATTCCACTAAATAACCAACAAGAAATAAAATGTAAAGATACTAATGTTTTGCCTACGTTTACATAAAGTGTACCTGCACTGAAGGCAGCCATACACTCACCAGCTTTAGATTAACTAGTTTGGTTAACAATAGAAATGCGGACATTAGTGTTAATTAGAAACCTAAATACAGCCTAAATACACTGGGGCCTAAATACATCTGCAATTTCATAGCTAATATTGCACAAATTAGATTAAATATAAGCAACACAGGCAGGCCTGACTCAGGCTACTATTTAGATTTCCAAAACATCACTAGATATGTCTCAGAGGCTTGGCAAAGGTCAGAAAGTGAATCTGTCTTGGCATACGGATTTTATGGATCCCATCCTATTTACCAGTCTCCCTACTTTAACCAAAAGACAAACTTTCATTTCACACACAACCCTTAAAATTAGGTAAACACTGAATTTTGACACTACTTGTGGACCACCAAATGGGACATAGAAAATAAATAGCAGTATTTGAAACCACTGTTTCATCACAGAAGCCAGACTTGAGAGCCTGATGTCTGTCTGTCTCTCTTTCTCTCTGAAATCTATCAGATGATATTCTTCAATCACAAAAAGTACATCATATTTTCTGTTCATTATCAGTTTATTTACAATTCCCAGTGCTGCTCCATAACAGCACTGAGAACATAAAAATGATCTTGTTTTTCTCATGCTCTATTGATAAGCAACACTGTACTCCCTTTACAAATGCCCAGGGTCCCTCAGTGAGTCCAAGGCACAGCCAAGAAACAAGGAAAGCTCTCCTGTGTCCTAGTGTTTTCACAACAAATCCACTTAAACTTCTAGATGTGAGCATGATAAAGAAATCAACCCCACTTTTTCAACTTTTTTTTCTACATATACTAGCAGAATGAACTTCAATTTCTGCTAAAGAGTGTCAATGCTGGGGAAAAGCTATACCCTAAATTTACACAAACAAAACCCCACCACCACGAACAGAAAGAGCTTCCTAATCAAACATCTCCCACTCGTCCCACAGGTGCAGAAGTCTCCCACAAAACTGAGTGGACTCACAGCACAGCTGCAAAGCCAAGGCGCCTCACCGCTGTCGGCACAGAGGAGCGGGCAGGGGGCAGCCCGGGCTGAACACTGAGGACACCAGAAGCCCTGCCACAGGCTGCTCACCCACCCCAGCCCATCCCAACTGCCAGGACAAAACTGTCTCTATGCTACCGGAGACGTAAACTGCAAAGAACTTTTGCAGATTAAACCCAACCCAGTGGACCACATTTGGAAAGGAATGTGCAGATCGTGGGGCTGCTGGAGTCAAGGCACGAGGGGCCACCACCATGCTGCATGGCTCACAGGACCTTCCGAGCTTCATTCCCTTGCCAGTGCTCCCACAGGCTAGTGTGTCCTGCGGGGACGAAGCCAGACCAACACTGGTGTTTTGTTCAAGACAAAATGTTTCAAATTCCTGGCCAGGTAGAAGTGTAAGAGAGGGAACTGTTGATCCTGGCTGCTTCTGATAGCTTCTTGTTGACCCTGGCTGCTTCTTTGGTAGCACTGCTACCTCAGACAAGCCCCAAGCCTCTCTCACCCCTACTGATCCCTACCCCTTGTGCCTGGAGGCATCAGCGCTACTTGGAAAGAGATTGTGTCATCTGATCGAAAAGCCGCCAAGATGGAGAGCCAGGTGTTGTCAGTGGTCTCGTGGAAACCACCCAGCCAGGCTGGGCCTCACTCTGCAGCCATTGCTTTGGCTACATTTTTAATAGGGGGATGGCAGAACGTACACCTACAACGTGCCACAGAAGAAAGCCCTTGAGGCAGGGGGTAGTTATGTTGTTTTTCTTGCATCAGCATAATGGCTGGTTCTGTGAAACACAGAAGTATCATTTTGGAGTTTTCAGAATATTACTCTAAAAAATCTGAATTTCTGTGGGTGGCTTCAAGTTCACTTTTTAAATTTCATGTCAAGATATGAAAATGGAGCCCTTCTTGCCGAAGCCTACAGAAATAATTGCCAGATGTCACATGGAAAAATGTGCTCATGGCTAGAACTTGCTTAGGCAAAGGAAGGAAATATCATATTTGATAGAAGGTCTTTACCTTTATAATCTTATGGAACAAGTAATTTATAAAATTGGAAAAACGTATTTAATGTCACAAAATGACATTAATTAGTCCCCTAAGATTTTGGGACTGCTTTATTGCAGGGTAAATAAGATTATAAATTCAGTGAAACAAAGTTCTTCTGGGTTTGTTTTAGTGAAAAAAGAAGGTACATCAACCTTAGATTCAATTGCAAGGAAACAAATTTATTTGCTAAGTCTCAGTTATAACTTTATGCAAGCCTACAGCTGCATGTAACATGTAGGTACACATATGTGGTACCAGACACAGCTTCTGGGACAACATTACCATAAATGAGAGTAAAATAAGGAGAGCACTAAAATGTAGATAAAAAAGAAATCAACTGCCACTGAATAGAGTGTAAAACAACAATTTTGCTATTCTGCTCTCCAATTTGTCATAAAACTGTCAATCTTATCTTTGTATTTAAAATGGGACTTCATTGGCTTGCTTTTTGAACAATTTAGGAGCAAGAACAGCAAAACCCCAAAGTTCTGGTAAATATTTTTAGACAAATAAGCATTTTAACACAAAAACAATTCCCCCCACGGGATTATGCAACATTCACATTTTAGCAGATGTCCAAATATCAATATATGCAGAAAATCTGAAGAGTAATTTCAAACGAAATGCATGGTTTTCTATTGTTATTACCTCTATTACCTTCAAAAATTATAAGGCTTGCTGTAATTCAAAACATCTATTTTGAAATACCAAAACCATGATTAGAAAATCCCTTTTCACTTCTCTTCACCATTTTTGAAAAATACGTATCTCATTTGAACACATATCACCTCTCCAATTTTCTGCTTTGCCGAAATCATGATATTCCTTCCAGTATTCTTTGCCAGGATCAAAGACATCTCACATAATTTACATGAATTACACAAATTAAACCAAACACTTTACCTAAATGAAACGAAACACTTTCTCCTAGACCACAGAGTTGAAGCTGGGAAAACTAAGCTCCCATACCTGTTTTGTTACTTGTCTCTTGTTTTTTACCGCCTTTCCGCAGTCTCACGGTATTTAAAATGAGTATAACGATACCTGGTCTGTAAACGGCTGTGATGTCCAAGTGCCCTGAAATCCTACCTGTTCTTTTTGTAAATTATGTATTGTACATCTGTTAGGCTTTCATGCTACTTCATCTTCTTTATTTGCTATCTCTGTTGCTTATCCTTCCCTGGAAAATCTGAAGTTCTAATATTACGGCTGGTATTATTGGGCTCCTACCCTTCAAAATTAGTACTATCGGGACTGAACATGTAAAACGAACTTGCTAAATGAAAAATCATTATAGATAGGCCTAGGAAAAAGGTTTGCCCAAATTTATTTGAAACAGGCTTATAAAGAGAAATCTACATGTGCACGCATCACTAGGTACTGGTAATACATTTTACTGATTATTTTCTGAAGAGAAATAGAAGTTTTATGTATTTTTGTCACAGTCTCCCTTTAAGGGCATGCGAGTCATGAAGCCAAATAAGCTGCCTGGATCTGATTAGAAAAAAAGAATTAGTATTAGAAATTGTAGGAGTTTATTATTGCAGCTCAAAATCCCAGGCAGTCTAGGTCAGAGAACCACTGTTGGGGT